ATAAGGTGATATTATTTATTCCCCGCGAAATGTAGGGATTTTCAACGGTTTGGCCTCTGGGCAGCCGTACACGTACATCAGCCTATCGGCCCCCCACAAATAATGCTAAAAGATCTTTGCGAACGAAATATTCTAGTCGTGGTGACAATAGCCCATTTTAGACACGAAAATGTCTAAACTGCCTGACCGTATCTGCTTTTCTTGGCTGCCCTCTGAAGTTTCCAACGATCATATGAATACTTCCAGTTCTGGACCAAACCAAATGTCCAACTTTGGGTCCAACTTTGAGGATATGCCTGAAAACCCCTGGAACCTTTCACATATGCAACCGCCGACGCCAAATATCCATTAGTGCCAGATGCAAAGTCTGTACGATGTATCTTGGCAAACCTGAAATGTTTCGAATGGGAAAATGCCGACGCCAAGAGTCTAATAATGGCAGATGCAAAGTCTCTAGCAGTCAACTCAATGTAATCTCTTACGTAATGAGAAGATATGCCCCAAATCCATACAACTATGCAGGTAGCCAAGATGTACGTGAGAAGAGGGACAACAGTGAAGCTCATTGTGAACCCCTGGGGTGGCGAGTCGGCCTTTTCGGGAGTCATGAATGGTATCGCCCAGAAAGCCTATACATTTGTTTGTCAGCACCACACTGGTACCCTTTGCCCATTTTCCACAGGCAAGGAAAACGCCACGTACAGCCATGAAGCCTAGCGGAGTGAAGAAAACCGTGACAACAGTAAACACTCCAATCAGGAGGTTCAAGGTCTTTGCTTTTAAAGCTTCCCGCAATGAAGAGGCGTTGAACAACTACCACACTGGTCAGCGGGCTAAACTTGGCTCGAATCCATGGCTATGATCATGGTAAAAGGATTGACGTACCCCTGACCGCAAACTTTCCACCTCATCCTTTTTGCGCTCCATGCGAAGTTTCAGTGAATCGACTCGACCATGAAAGAAGGCTTCGACCTTGTCCCAGTTTGCCTCCATGGCAGGCATATCAAGCGGCCACTCGATCTCGTCCTCTGGCGCATTCAAGCGGCGCAGAGCGATCCAGTTTTCGTACTGGCCTGTCAGGTTGCTCCTGAGATCCGCCATTGCTTCTTCTGCCTCCTCGATCCAGCTTTGGAATATGCGAAGAAGCTGTAGAACGGTAAAGTACTGCTCTGACAGCTGAAAAGAATCGTCAAACATGAGCATTTGCCATCGCTTTCTGTCGAGTGTGTCTTGCAGCTACAAGCCATCTCAGCATTTCAATCAAAAGTTATGGTTTTCCGAGTTGCGACATACCTGGACACTAATTGTCTCATCAATCTTTGCCATCATGGTATCCCAGCGCTTCCTCCAGTAGTCTATGCATCTGACGAGGACAATCATGAACTGGAGTACACCGGCACCACCATTTCCGCAGTCCTTGAGATCCAGCTCCTGATCTACACGATCGGAAATAGGCGACAAGAGAGAATTTTGTACCGGGCCGCCGTCAAGGTCGATGCGATAGTCGACCCATACAACGACGGTGTGCTTGAACACGGAATGGCTATACCGCAAAACAAGGGAGATGGACACGAGAAATTCGATCGCAAACTGATCATCGGCACCAGAGAAACCAGCGATCCTGGCAGCCTGGCGTTTGAGCGGGAAGCCAATGGTTGGAGGCGAAATACCGTACCCGTCCTTGAAGTGTCCGACACGGGCGCCGCGCTCGTCGGGGATGCAAGCGCGCAGGTTGAATCGTGTACATGACCACTCAAAGTGCGCAAAGTCTCCTTGGCTGTAAAAGACTGGCGTGGTGTTTTGGATCGGGCACCAATCGGACAGGATCCCAATGTAATCGACCGACCTTGCGGTAACGGTTGGAGAAAACAGGCCCTCCATGAATGCGACCATTGGCATGGTCAGGACACTCGTGGAGGTACTTGGCGCAATTTGCCTGCACATTGATACTATTAGTTTGGACAATGGATCCAAACGGAGATCATTATAACCTCAGCTCACCAAAGCATGTTGTCCTGGGGTTGAGTCGTGAGGGCGAATCCCCTGAAAAGACTCGCAAGAAGTTCTTGGGGCCCCTGACCCCTTGGTACCGATTTTCGACAGATGATGGCTGCTTCATCATCTGTAATGAGCGATTCACGTGGCCAAAGGTAGCGAAGATCGGTCCCATCTTCATCGATAAGCCATCCGAATGTCCTCGGCCAAGTGCTGGCAAAGGATTCTGCAAACGCCTCCCAGTGGTCGTTCTCGTGCAGATAATCAAACAAGTTGCGGTGATCTAGTGTGACCAGGGATTTGTCTGACCGAAGGAATGGAGTCTTGACGCCCGCAGATGACGAGAAATGTGTTTTGCGTAGCGTTATTGTAAAGGGCTTGCAGTATGAGAGGACATTCTTCAAAAGACCGCGGTTGAGCCACCGAGTGCCAAGCATGTGCAGTTTGTCTTCTGTCAAGATGGAGTCTTTGAAGAACTTGATGTTTCTTTCTGTCCGCAGCTTTGTCTCCTTGGCGGTGTATGATCTCGTCGGTCTTATGTACGTAGCCAGAGGTTTCGGCTCTCCCGTCGCATCATGGGTAGTCTCCTGGGCGATGTATGATGGCCTCGGTGTTGTATTAGTGACCAGAGGGTTAGGATCTGCCGTCGCAATTTGGGTGGTGATTTCCTGAACGAGATCTGGTTTCTTGAGTGTTATATCAGTAACTAGAGGTTTAAAACCTTCTGTAGCAACTAGCGTGTTTTCACTGGACCGTTCTAATGCTACTGTTCTCGAGTCCGAACTGGGCCTCAGTCTTGGAATAGAATCTGAAGGCTCTCGCAAATTTGTATTTGCCGGTTTTGTCGGCTCCAAAGCCGGATTGTTGTACTCTGCGGCAAAGGAAGTGATATTGGGAAAGAAGGGGGCATTATGAATTAGCTCAGCTGGGAGCAAAGGAGGGATAGAGGACGGAAGTGCAGGTGGAGCTTTAGATTGAATTGCAACGTGCTCATACGAGACTTCTGGCATCTGACGGTCGTCTGTTCTCGAAACTGTCCCAGATACTTCCTCTAGCTCATCATCAATATAGAAACTAATTGAATCCATGCCGCTCTGCCGCTTTGCGCATGAATGAAGCTCAATAGAATTGTGGTGCAGGAATAAACGGCCGACAAAAGAAATTTGCAAGCTGCAGCATAAATCTTATTGTCCTTCCTTATCTTCAGAGCGGTAGCTGAAATCTCGATTGCTGGCGCTGCCTAGAAAAAGGGCCTCGGGCGAATACTGCCAATCAAGGCGTAATAGGATTTTTGTGTGACACTCCAATAAGTCTGGTGCAAGGGAGGCTCTGGAGGGTCTGTGGCGTTCAGTGGGCGTTCAGCAGGCCAATACCGTATTGCCAGCAAGACGCGAAAAAACCTTCGACAAAGCCTTGCAAATGGTTGACGTTTTCGATGGCAACGAATCAAAAAGACAAGCTAGGAGCCGATTTGAGGCATACACAATTGATTGGCTGGATTGGACCATGATAACATGCAAGATGAGCCCCTCGAGATCCAAGTTCTGAGCCCATAAAACAGGATTCTCGCCAAGGCGTATTCGTCGAAGCATCGACGCGGGGCGTCCTTCAGCCTTGTGGCAAGCGACAACTTGCAGGCACAAATACCAATCATTATTGCTTGGTATGCAGGGCATTTGATTTAGTTAATATGTCTATCGTGTGTTTATCAGTATAGCACTTGCTGCCGTTGTACCGCATTAATAGGTGTACTAGGTGTAGAATCAATTTGTACGAGTAACGCCTCAAAGTTCTTGATCGTGCATGGGATATTAGTCGTATAAATTGGGGTCCCACGGATATTTATGCTGACGGCGAAAGTGATACTGGTAAATGGTTGAAACTCCCACAGCGCTGTGCCGACAACTTTCACGCGACCAAGTTTGGCTTCAAAGTGGGTGGTGGCAACGGCATGGTCACCCCTCCTGCACCCTGCTCAGAGCAAAATTTTATCAATCAAGGCTGTTTTAACTAAGTTGATTAGTCGATTCTGGGCCAGAGCATCTAATGCGCGACAATGATTTACACCGTTTGCAATGGGATAGCAACATCTTGTTGCGTCTTCTTCAGTCCCGTGCCAGTCACAGTGTGTTCTGTACTCAAGTGCCCCTGTCTGATGAAAAGGCTTGCAACAAGTCCTGCAAATGCCACCGCCGTGAACAGAATCCATACGTTTCTCATGGACAAACAGATTGCCGTCTCGACGGCTGTCTTCCAGGCCTGATCTTGAATGTTTTTTATCGACAAAATATTTGCCATGACCTTGTTTCCGGAGAATTTGCTAATCAAGTCCCAGGGCAGACCCGCGCTCTCGAGATAGGTCATTTGCTTGTCCATGGAGCTCTGGAAAAAGCTGCCGCCAATGACGACGGACAGGGTGATGCCAATATTTCTGACAAAGATGAGCGTTGAAGTGGCAGTCGCCACCTCCTCCGGTCTGACCTGACTTTGAATGGCAATGATGGGTGTCTCGAACAGTAATCCGGAGCCCAACCCGCCAATCAGTTGATAACCGATAATCCGGGCAGTGCTGGAATGTATGTTGAATGAAATAAACAGTCCAAATCCGAGACAAAGAAACAGTGCACCCACCCACAGAATCTCTTGAAAGCGGCCGGTACGGTGGATGAACGCGCCGCATGCAATGCCGGAGATAGCAGTGGTGACGATGAATGGCAAAAGCAGTAGTCCAGACTGGAGAGGACTAGCTTCAAGTGAGGATTGAAGCAGTAAAGGCAAGTAGTACTCCGCGCTCATGAAAGCCTAGAAAAGTAAGTTGACTGAAGGTAAATGTAACATCAATAGGGGAATGCATACCAGTCCATGACAAAGAGTCAGTACCATGATGGCCACGTTGACGCCTTTGGTGAAGATGCCCATTGGCATGAGAGGGTTTTTTGCGATTTTGACCTCGCTGTAAATGAATGCGAAGATCAAGATGCCACCAGCAGCAAATAAAGCTATGACTTTGGCCGAGTTCCACGGGAAAAGAACGCCACCAAAGTCCAGGGCAAGCAGTAACATGACGCTACAGCCGAGGAATGTGACCATGCCAGACCAGTCCAATGCTTTCACGCCATCCGTAAAAGACGTGTATTCGTGTTTGATATCCAGATAATAAATAATAATGATTGCTGCCAAACCGGAGATGGGAAGATTGATCCAGAAGCACCAGCGCCATGTGATCAGTGAGGAGAATACGCCGCCCAGGACGGGACCAAGCCCGCCTGCCACGGCCCAGACGCCCTCCGTGAGGCCCAGCAGAAGGCTACGCTTCCTGTATTGCCCCATTTGTAAGCTTGGGTACAAGTTGAGTTGTTTGAGACGCAAGTTCCTTTTCATAAAGGAAATTTCTGTTCTCTAAGGGACTCTTTTTGCGTACCTGAGACTGAACAAATCACTGATGCACACGTGCACGAGGAGCGTGAGACCTCCCGATGCGGCTCCCTGAAGCGCTCTGCCTGCTATAAGCGCATCAATGGTTTTTGCAGACGCACAGATTGCGGAAGCAACCGAGAACCAAGCGAGAAGGGTAAGCAGAATGATCTTTCGACCCCAGATATCAGACAGCTTGACCCAGATTGCGCTTGTCGTCACGCTCGCAAGAAGAAAGGCTCCCCCAATCCAGGTGTAGCCAGCGGCGGAAGACAGCTCATTGCTTATGGTTGGAGCGGCGGTTGCGACAATGCTAACATCGAGGGCCGCAACAAAGAGAGAGAGCTGTTATAGTAGACACTTAGTGTACTGCCTGCATGCATGGGCATTGTGACTTACAAATAGCGCAAAAACCACCGCGTATTGCCTAAAACTCTGCATCGCATTTGATGTGTCTTCAGTAGAATGACCATCGTGGGCGGGCACATGTGGTGATCGGATTTCATTTGTCGTGACTCGCGAAACGACCGCATCGGCCGGATCAGACGGCGTGCGAGACGTTGCGTCTCTCTTGTCAGAATGAACTTCGTTCATTATGGTCCTCTCGCTTAAGTAGGCTTGTTTAAAAAAAAAAAAAAAAAACCAGAAGAAAGCCGCTACGAGCGAGCAACTGCCTATTTGCGTGGAAGGGAACAAGTTGGAAGCACACCAACGGGCGTGATGAAAGTGGGACAGTAGCAGGTATTTAGCGCTCCCGAGATGGCGGCGAGCACCCCGGCAGTACGGCCGGCGCCGAAATCTTTGCCGATATCCCAATGCTGACCGCTCTCCAGGCCGTCTTCCAACTTGGCGAAATACCATACATGCCTTGCCTGGTTGTCACAAGTGCGGGGGGAGTAGAGGTGCAAGACCTTCTTCTTCCCTGTCTGTTTCACGCCCTCCCTGACTTGAAGACTAAAATTGCTAATCGAGTTGTTGGTTCGTTGGTGCATGGGTTATGCACGTCCGATAAAATAGGCATCTTTTCGCACTACTATCAGGTGCCTGGCTGCCTGGGTTGGTAAGCACTAACACCTATTCGACACTGCTGTTATGCTGGAGCAGGGGGTGTTTGGAGTCTGGACCTGCATACATGTCAACATGGCTAGCGGGACCAACCTTGCGGAATCCCATCACGAAAAGTATAAATTGGTTTGCCCACGTAGTTTGGGCTCACAACCGTCCGTGTACGCTTTTGTTGTCCGCTACGGGTGAGCGCGCACTCGAAACCATTGCTGAATATTCACGAGCATCGTGACTGTTCTCAATATGGCTCTGGAAATCGTGGGCATGGCTCCGAATGTGGCCCAAATCTCTGTTGCCATCATCTTGGCTGTCTTGTCCCCCTTTCTATTGACGTATGCATACACATCTCGCCAGATCAGTGCCAAGGAGACCAGTGATGGCGTGGCAAGTCCAACTCCTATCGCGCCTTACTGGATTCCAGTACTGGGGAACGCATTGTCTTTTTCTCGCGATACTGTGGGATATATACAGGGTCTCAAGTAGGTACATCAGATAACGTGGCTTTTGATAGCTCGATATGTAATAATACTGACTTTTGCCGAATCTAGGGCAAAGTTTGGCATGAAGCCTGTAAAGCTTCTGCTTGCTGGCGATCAAATGACTTATGTACCCCACGGAGATAAAATGGTCACTACATTATTGGATGCCAAAGAGCTACATTCAGGCCCATTGGCCGCAAAGCACCGGCGCGACACGTTCAACTTTCCCGAGGCGGATGACGCTATTTATCTACAGGACGACTCGGGCCTGCAAGTGAAGCCTTGGGCAAACTCGACTGTCCGGCCTGATCGCCGTGTCATCTACGAGGAGCACTTGATTATCCATACTCAGCTCAATGGCAATGGAATGAGTGTGCTGCTTGAAAAGACGCTCGAGTTCTTGGTCCGCTCTCTGCAAAGCAAGAGACAAGAGTACTCGAGCTGGACCGAGTTGCCCGACTTGACCGAATTCGTGCGCAATGAAATGTTTGAGGCCACGCTGCGCGCTCTCTGCGGTGAAAGGATCTTTGAAGTCACACCAACTCTTCTAGACGATTTCTGGGCATTCGACCTGGGCATGCCAGATCTATTCAAAGGATTGCCCAAGTGGATGGCTCCCAAAGCCCATGCCGCGAGAACCAGAATGGCAGCCATTATCAAAAACTGGCACCTGGATCCTGTTACAGCTGAAAAGTACGATGAGTACATTGCTCACCCGGACCGCATTCCTGATTGGGACCCAATTCTTGGCCATCGAATGATGATAACCCACTATAAAATGCATGTAGACTACGGGTTTAGTCTAGATGGAAGAGTCGCTGGTGAACTCGGCCTTATTTGGGGGTAAGCCGTATCCTTGAAATTGCGTGAGAGTCCTCAGCTAACATGAGTAAAATTAGAGCCATGACAAATCTCATTACCTCGACCATCTGGCCTATCCTGAACGCAGTATTGTCGCCTGCGGTAGCCGAACGAGTCCTGATTGAATCCTCGCCCTGCTTTACCGAGGGATCACTGGAAATCAGTCAGAGAGCGAAACTAGCATCCTGCAATCTCCTCGTGTCAATGTATCTGGAGAGTCTCAGGTACGGCATTGCCGTCAGCATCCCCCGTACACCGTGGCCGGAGAATGGGTACAAGCTAGGGGCGTGGAAGCTCAAGAAGGACGAGATAGCCTTCACCATCAGTGCCATTGCGCATCTAGACGAGACGTTTTGGAATACGGGGCACCTTGTGGACGGGAAACCAGAGCATCCGACCAACCAGTACTGGGCTGAGCGGTTCATGGAGTATCCCGATGACCCATTGAGCGGACCGATTCGAAAGTACGACAAGCACTCCGAAATTTACCACACGACGGCCAAGCCGCCTACGAGGACAACAGAGGATGACGAGAAGGCAACTATCATCACCCACGGGCTGTCCAGTCACTACTTTCCTTATGGAGGTGGTGTCAAAATATGCCCCGGTCGGTATTTTGCAAAGCAGCTTATTTTAGCCGCGGTCCCTACCTTTCTCAGGGCTTTTGATATGGAGTATTTGGATCATGAGTCTGCTGCCAAAACCAAACCAGACTATCACTATTTCATGTTTGGATCATTGTCTCCGGACAGGAAAAACCCTATTCGGATCAAGGCAAAGAAGATCTAATCAGACAATTTCATGATTGGTCACATTTTACTTAATCATTTCCAGCCTTGGACCTTCGTACCATGTATCGAAAAGTATATGTCCCCCATTGGGACTTGCCCTGCTCACTTTCGGGTAGATAATCGTCGAGAGCATACTCGGACGAGCCCAGTTCTTGAAACCCCGCGCGTAGGTATACGCCGAATCCTGATGGCGATGCATGTGCCCAACAAGCCAACCCCTCAACGTCGGCTCTAATAGTCCCCCAGCGGACGAGTTGAGCTCCGATGCCTCGGTTTTGCCACTGCGGGTCCGTCACCAAGGCCTGCAAGACCAGGTGCCGTTCGTTTCCCACGAGTTCTCTTTTACGGGCCACCAAGTCTTGTCGCATGAGCTTGCCTAAATCTTGCGGCAGAGGCTTTTGTTGCTGCAAGTCTGGAGCGGCATGTCGGACAGAATCGTTGTCATTTGCACCGGTAATCTCCTGAGGTTGCTGCTCACCAACCGTCTTGGAAACTGACTCTGGCTTCGTCGGGTTGTGCTTGGCCTCGGGAGCAGCATCTTCTGTAACCCAGCACGCGTATCCAACAATATCTTCCTCATTCGTCGCCACCGCTTTGATCAATTGAGCGTTGGGATCTGACATCCATGTCTCGATAGACTTGGATAGCAGACCTTTGAACGTATCAGGGTCGCGGCCAAGAAGCATTAAATTCGAAAATTGATCGGATTGGAATGCTTTCAGATGGATTTCAAGTAGATTTGGGATATCACTAGTAGTAGCAGGAAGAATAGATATTTCCAATTGAGTTTGCATTTTATCTGACATATTCCAACGAATGTTCGGCGATGAAAGCGAGAGAATAAAATGCTGTGATATAAAAAGAAAAGACTTCAATGGCTGACAGGGAGCGCGCTGGAGCCTTTAAGTTTGTAAAGCCTAGACTAGAACCCCAGGATGTATAATTTAGGCATCAGCTTTACCCTTGGCCGAAGCCTAAGTTGCAGGGTTTGACGCTATTGCTCTATACTGAGCACCAGAGTCTTCCCAAAAAGTTGTCAACACGCAGTCATATACCAAGTCGAGCAAATGCAATTGTAAATGTGACACCCAACATACGTGTCAGCAACTTTGTGGACTTGTTACAGTTCCCCTTTCTGCGGTGGAACATAAAACTTTTTTTTTTTCGATCGTAGTAGTGGCGATGCCATTTGTTTGTGGTATATCCAAATCTGCATTCAAGTCATTCTTATTGGATACAAACGAGTACTCGATTACTGAGCATTTGCAGATCGAGTATCTGGGCAAGTGATGTCGTGTTGCAACCCATGGAGTTGTTCTTGGAACATCTGGAATGGACATGGAACACTTATCATAGACCAATGTAGGAGGAAGCTTCTTCTTCCCATCCATACTGCATTGGTTATAGTGGCACCGTGTAAAGCAGATTCAAGGTTGAGTCACATTCGAGAGTGGGTTCAAGCTGATCTTTTTGAACTTTTCCACAAGCTCCCCCTAGGTTCTCTCATGAACGGACGTAGAGGTCCGTCTCGGAGAACATTGTATCGCTATCTACGGTATTGGTCCAGCTATCTAAGTGCTATCTATTGAATGGCAGTGTCATTTCTCTTCCCAAGGGGAACATTAAATGCTGCCAAGGCTGCCTCTTCGTGTTTTGAAAAAAGTGCAGCAAAAGCGCTCACATCTGGCGCTTTGAATATCTCCCTGACGTGATGTAAATCTCTCCCGTTACTCAATTTCACATCCTGTCGTATCTCGTTTTCTCCATATTTCCCATTATTGCTGGTTCAATTTTGCGATTTCATGGTCTTGTCGAACCAGCTTGGCCCTTCTTGTCCATGCTGTAGCTTCATCAGTGCTTTCGCATCTTTTTCTGTGGACCAGTCATAATCCCCAGAGCTTCTTCCATAACCATCACAAAACAAAGCCATTAAGAATACTCGTCAGGCGAATGCCCCCTTTTTCTTGTGGTCTTCCAATGCATAGACAACTTTGTAGGACCACCAGTTGGCTTGAAGCATGCATAAAAGTGTTCCTGCTCAGTTTGCATCAGATATCAGATCACGCACTATATACCATAGTTGGCAACAAGTGCCTGCTGATCTTGAGGCTGCATCTGATGAACAAAATCGTTGAATTGGGGGATGAGTCCGCGGTAGACGTTGATGATCTAAATGATTGTTAGTGGGGTAAGCCTTGGCTTTGATCCTTCAGTTGTACTCACCTTTTGAAAATCATCGTGCAGGCCATGCTTGGCATCGCTGCGCAGCTTCAGGTCTCTATACCTCGCAATCGAAGTAAAAAAGTGAAGGAGAGACTTCTCCATAGCCATTGGATTTTGTTCGACGATCGCAGTGAATCCTCTAAATGCAGTTGCTTTTTCGTCGGACGGGTCAACCTCGTCCATTGCGTTCAAGAATTCCTCCGCCCAATTCGCAACTTGCGGTGCCAATAAGCCCGCGTTGCCGAGTCCGAGACGACCCAACGCGATGGCAGCATTTTCGCTGACACTCTTGGGGATGTTGGGGTCCACGATAATGTCCACCAAGCGCCTGAATAATTCAGGCACAAACTGTGCCAATCCTTCTCTCCACTGAATAGCAATTTCTCCAGCCGACCAGCATGCATTGTTCACAACGCTGAAACCGCTCTCAATCTCCTCATCGAGAATATCGCTCAAATCCAGCTGCTTGAGAAGCACTGGGAGGATGTTGTTCAAAGCGTTGGCGAGCTCACCAAAGATGTATTTTGCGCAGTCTCCAAGTAGAGCATAGGCTGACTGGCGAACTTCGTCGGCGGGATCCTCCATGCAGAAGGCCAGCAGTTCAAACACAGGCAAAGAAGATTCCTTGACAAGCTGAGCCGACTTTTGCGGTTCGAGTGCCTGGACAATGGCACTTAAAAGATCCAAGCTGGTAACGAGGAAATCCTTATCGGGTACATCGACAGAGGGGTTGTTTGCCAAAGCTATGGAGGCCTCAAGGTTGTCGTGTATGATTTTGACGCAGCGGTTGAAAATGGGTTGGGCGTAGGGAGTGAATCCGTCATTGAGCGCCATGGACACATAAGACAAACACTCGAGTAGCGGGAATAACTCTCGCGACTGGTCCGGTACCTTTTGCCATCTGTCAATCAAGGCCGGCATCAGCTGGTTGACGAGTTCGGGACGTGCTAGTGTTGGTCCGATGTGTTCAGCCAGGGTTTGAACACAGTCGTAGAGGATAAACATGTTCCTATCCTTGTACTTGGCAAAGCAGCGGACAAACTGCTGAATAATGGGCCCACTGTACGGCTCGATGTTCTTGCCGGCCTTATCTTCGAGGTTGGCAAAGGCGGATGCGCCTGCTTCCTGGACCTTTTTGTTCTTGTCCAGCATCTTCATCAAAATACCCTCCATCATTGGCTCAAAGAAGGCCTGTTTCTGAGCAGGATCAGAAAGTTGCGCTGCCCATGAAGAGTAACGACCGAGAGTCCAACAAGTAATCTGGCGGACGACGGGCTCGGGATCGTTGAGAAGCGTGATGAGATATGGGACCAAGTCGGGTAGATGAGGAGTGACGACATCGATACAGCCATCGGCAATAGCGCCCAATGCCAAAACGGCGGCCTCCCGGTAAGGCCAGTCCTCATGCTTAAGGTTCTTGGTTAGGTAAGGCAAGATGGACTCGAAGACGGGTGCGCGGTAATCTCTGGCAAAAACATCGAGGGCAGCAGCAGAGCACTTTCGCAGTGTCCATCGCTCATCTGGGTTCTCGTCGTTACCATCCTCATCTTCCTCGACTTCGCCATCCTCCAGATCATCGTCCATGTTGGCGAGCTTCTCATAGGCATTGCCATTCTCGTTTGCATCTGCCGAAGCTTCAGTGGCGTTTCTTCCTGACTGCTTCTTGGCAAACTGTGGCTTGATGTCCTCTTCCCTATCCTCCTCGTCTTCATCGTCGGAAGCGCCACCAAGCAATGCGATATCCTCGGGACTGTATACCATACACTCAAGAAGTACGGGGATAATTTTTCCAATGTACGGCGTCAGATTCTCCCACAAAGAATCGTGCTCACCCACAGCCAGCCAGAACTCGGCAGCGTCACAAGCCAACTCCTCGTCATCACTCTTCTGCTGGCTGATGATGTAGTCAACCAGGCCAGAGAGATGGGGCCGAAGCTTGTCCGCACGAGTTTCAACCAGCTGGACGAAGGCTCTACATACTTGTCGTCGAACATCGGGATGTGTGTCGCTTGCTAGTGTGAATAGGTGTTGAAGAAGGCTGTCAATGGAGTTCAGCATAGCCTGAGACTTTCGAGGCGTGAAAACATTGATCGCCGTCAAGGCCTGGGCGCGAACTCTGGGCAATGGGTTCTTGGTAGCTTCGATGAGCTTCGGCAGGATGAAGTTCAGCGGTCGCTGGCCGTTGAGTTCACGCTCGAGCATCTTGGTGTTGTCTTCACAGATCTTTGCCATGGCAATCATGGCACCCTCCTGCGCTTCCGGGGAAACCTGTCCGGTCTCGTTGCCAATGAGCTCGAGCAGCTTCGGTAAAAGCTCTGGCCAACTAAGCAGGCCACCTCTGCGAATGATTTCAGTCGCAATGTTTCCAGCATAGTTGCGCATTTGAGAGTTCTTGTCCTCCAATACCATGGGTATGGCCATCTTGATCAGGGTAAAACTGGATTCAGGAATTTGCTTGTAGTCAGTCTTGACATTGTTCTTCAGCATGATGGCAGCAGCGGCCCGGACGAGGTGATAGTCTTCAGCAGAGCATTGCAGTCCAGCCGGAGGTTCAGTGCTCGAGAAGAGGTATACGAGGTAGTTGTTAATATCAGGCGACGACTTGGCTTGTGTGAGCATCTGTAATGGGTGGGAAAAGATTCCAGTAAGCTTCCATGTCGTATTATACCAGCTGCGCTCGTGGCAGAGCAAATGCTTGGTGTTTACTCACGATTTCAGCCTGCTTCTGAGCAGCCTTGTTGAAGCCGCTAAGAGAGTCCTTGAGACAAGCCGCAAGCTGGCTCAAGGACTCGGGTGCTGGTTGCCATGCCATGGTGGGCAACAGACCTCAAGATGAAGAGGTCTGTAATGCGCTTGATCGCTGGACGAAACCGAGAAGGGTTGGGGGCAGTCCAAAAATGGGAGAAACACTGATGACTCTTTCGGCGACTCTTGTTTCAGAGTCGGAATCTCGAATCGCAAGGCGCGGGTAGCTGTCTGTCTTGTGCAGGAAGGCCTGCTGAGCTGAGCGAAGTTCAGACAACCTCTGGGTAAGATGGGATGAGACAAGCCAGCGGCGGTGTACTCTGGTCCTCGCAGTATGAAAAAGAACTTGACCAAGCCCAGTTGCTCTTCTTAAGATGTCCTGGACGGTCTGTCGACCAGCATTTGTTGCCTTGGTAGGCGCACGGTAGAGACGGTTGTGGGAAGGGATTGATGCCGTCAACGCAACGCAGCAGTGGTGTGTGGTGGTTGATAGTAGAGGCGGTGCGCAGGTTTAAAGTGGTGGGCTGCGTTGGTGGGCTGTCTTGTCTGTCTGTTCTGTCTGTCTGTGGCTTGCCCGTGCTTGCCTTGTTGGAGGGGTCTAGATTTAGTGTACCTAGCGTGTGTAGGTACCTTGAAGGACGTACCAGATCAGCGCTGTACCTAGTACGTTTGAATGCAGTACCTGAAGCCGTACCTAAAAAATGTTGCTGCGGGTGTATAATAATCAGCAACAATGAAAACAGCCTCAACAGAAGAGAGACTGTACGGTTTTTACAGACAGAAGAGATCAGAAGACACACACACACACACACACAGAGAGAGAGAGAGAGAAAGGTGTGATTGGCAGACAGGGTGACAACGGCTTTGTCAAGGTGTCAGTAAATGTTGTGTCTCTCCGGCGGCCCTGTGCTCGTAGGCGATGGTGCCGTTGCCGGCCCTGCACTTTTTAGACAAGCAAGGGAACGTCAAAACGTTGGTTGTCCACCGGCGTGGGCAATGGTGGGGTCCAGAGCACTTTGGTAGCTGGTGATTTATTTATTTTTCCTTCTCGATTTTCCCGCCCTTCAAGTTCACCCTTTTTCCACCCATTCACTTTTCTTTTGTCCAGTAGCGGGGACATACCCTTGATGGAGTTTTTCTGCTGGCTTGACTTCACATGTCTCACCCGCCGCCACCTATTCTCTCTTTTTCCTTTCCTTTTTCACTTGGCTATCTATTGTACATGAAAGGTGTGTACCTTTCACCTGGCAAAGCGGGAGTCTACCATCTAGTTCCCCTCACTTTCTTCAATCCGAGGGCTTCTGCTTTCATGGAGGGGCTAAAGTGGAGCTGGAGGGGGGCAGTTTTTTTCACCTCAGACCAGCCCTCAGTGGCTGCCACTTCGATTCATGCTTGCCCATCCAAACTCTGCTGCATGGTGAAAATCCAGAGGGGCCACAGTAGTTGACCCCTCCATTCGCCCAGACATGGGTCATGGTTGGAACCGTTTTAGACTTCAACTGCCACCCATTTGCCCATGCATGATTCCATCCATGGTGCAGAACATTCCCAATGATGTGGGACAACCCAAAAAAAAGCCTTGCCCTCTCGTTTCTTTACTTCCTAAACTGTACTTTCCTGCTTGTTAGTGGCATGTTTGTCTGTATTCCATCGCTTGTTTCCATCCTTGTACCAAATACTAGCTAAAACTGCTTTCATCTGATGCAAGAACCGCATTGTAGATAACTCCTGTCAAGGTAAACCAGAAGATATTCACGTCGGGCACTCTGCAGATGATCGTCATCTGGTTGGTTTGGGGATTTCATCTTGCTCATGGCTAACCGCAGCCTCAAGTCCAGTGTCGAGTACCTACTTCTATATATGAAGCATCGCCTGGATAGCCGTGACCTCCATGGACCTGTGCACGGGGCCCATCTTGACCAAGATGAAAGGTCTGTCTGACACAATCAATGTGATCAACACTGGTCGTACAGGTTCTATTAGACAGCGAGTGATTATTGAGATTGTAACAATGTATGACTATCGGCAAATTAGACAGTCCCAAACTTGCAAGACTCAGACATTGATTCTCAGCTTGGGCCGCCCTATCTCCTTCCACATACCACATAGAATCAATCAAGCCCGGCTTGAGTTTCACTTTGGTCTTCAGGCTCCGGCCATTCTTATGAATGGTGATCTCGAAAGCTGGTGATTAGATCTAACCATTCCAAGATAATGTCGGGCTCGAGCCGTGATGATTGGGGCATGCGGCAATCGCTATCAGCACCCTTTGAGTGCCATATCGACAAACATCATACGTGACATGTGAGCTCATCAACAGCTAATTTCTTTGCTGCAGGATCACTGCAGCTTTTACCCTGGCCAAATTACCTATTCGACACGTGGAGCAAGGATCCCAAGCTAGACATATGCAAGAAGCCGTCGACAGCCAGAGAAACCCCAAGGGATCACAATCGTTGGTTTGTCGGTCAGAAGGCTGCTCGGCTTAGGAGGCGCCCGAGATCAGTATGGTGTATGATCTATGTTTCTGATTCTTTTTGATCATGTTTGTAATGAGTGCGTTTGCCTACTGCGCAAAGGCAGACCAGGGCTGCCATGAGGCTGAAAAGGGCCAAAAATCGATGGACGTGCTTGGCATTTGTAGACAAACAGTCATGTACTCCCAACCAAGAACCATGTATCATGAGCTCGGAATCCCGATCAAATAGGAAAACATGGGTCATTGAGGGTGATGGGGCAACCGTAGGACTAGGCCTCGCTTGTGCCATTAGGCATGCTGCTTGCAGGTGTCGTTAGATGTTGAAGCTTGCTCAGAGTCACTTCGACCACCTTCTTGAACGCCTCCATCTCCTCCTCAAACGTTCCTCCCAGACCTGTACTGGCCAGGCTGATGGAGTTGGATACGTAGACATGCATTTGTGTCTTCTTGACCAAGATTTTGGCGACTCGAGTAGCAAAGTCAAACGTTGGTTCCTCCTTGTAAATTGGTGTCGAAATTGGCACGCTGGGATTGAATCGCTGTAACTTGCTTTAGCTTGGTAATGTAGACGACATGATGCCCAGTCCTCGAAACACTCACATCTGGCAGAGCATAGACCATTGAACCCAAGGGTACCGCATTGCCAGCTTCCTCGGCAGAGACCGTGGTGAGGTGTACCATGAGCACCTTGGATTTTGTAATGAGTCGAATGTGGACGCGAGTGTCCAGGGACTTTGGCAAAGGAAATGAAAACGACTCGTCCATGGTCACGATTCCCGGCTATGGCCTGCAAAGGTCTGCGCAAAGGAAGGAATCCCTCGACAATGAGACAAGTAAATGTTTTCGTAGACGGACGTTGGGAGGATGTGGTGGCAGTAATGTACAATGTAGGTAGGTAAGCAATACTGACAAACTCCAGGTATCGCAACCGCTTAAGAATCCGGGTCCAAGCTTTCACTTTGGCGTTGCTCTTGCTTGTCGCTGCACTATGAGGACACTCACTGCAAACTACAGGCCGTTGCATACGGAATTTAGTGGAGCCCAAGCCTTGGGAACCCCCAAGCCCACCTCCTCTCACTGCCTTGCACTATCTTGGCAACTGACAAGCAACAATTTGTCAGTGTTTGGGACGAAATTTGCTTCTGACGATGCAAGTTTTCTCACCATGTCATTGCAACATGATCTTCACCTACATACGTAGTTTTTGAGCAAGGACGAGTTTCTGCTGACTTTGTTTTACCGGTGACGTCTACCGCTGACAACCGGGGCCCCTCTTCCTGTCCTCCAAGTCTCTGAGTGCCCCGCCATCACAAAAGATCCCACACTTGTGGCACTTTTAAGCTCAGCTGTGCCGGACTGAGACTTGCGGCGGCCAATCCAAGCAGACTTCTCAGGCTCTGAAGAGGATTTCTTACCTCTTCCAACGTGGACGGAGACAAAATGGCTACTGCTCCTGCCCAGGAGAATCAATGGAGCGGGGTCGAGGACACCATTGATGACCCTGAAGAGTTCAAGGTCATATTCCAAGCATTGGACTCCTTTGCGTGAGTATACGAATTACAAATCACCCCAGTGCATTCACTCCGAGCCCTGCACTTACCGCCAAATCTCCCATCACATGGCATTCAATGTCGTATCATGATACCATGACACCTTTCTGACGCTTCTACACAGTCAATATGCAAGGACGGCACATTTACACTGCACGCATATGCGTCGCCAGGCCTTCTACGCCCTTCCGCAAGCACACTGGAAGATGTTGGCAGAGCCCCCATTTTCATACCTGGAGACATTGGATCGCATAGACTCCGCCATTGAGAGCAACGCGGATCTGGCGCGCAGCATTCTCAAGCAAGGCCTGCAGTCTTTTGGTGCCGAACAACAAGGCTCCTACGAGTCCGCCCATGTTCTCATGCCCGAGGAATGGGCTGGTGTCTCCAAGCAGTCGGACGCGGACAAGGCAAGAAGCACCCTTCGGCAGTTCTACCGCGACTGGTCTGTTGAGGGTAAGGCTGAGCGAGAAGCTTGTTATGGACCCATCTTCCAGGCCCTTGAGTCACATAAGGCGAGGCATCCAGAGGGTACGCAGATGAGTGTGCTAGTCCCTGGCGCTGGTCTTGGTCGCCTGGTCTTTGACCTCTGCCACAAGGGATACTTCAGCGAGGGCAATGAGATTTCGTATCATCAGTTGCTGGCATCGTCCTTTATCCTAAACAGCGTCAAGCAAGCTGGTCAATTTACGATATATCCATGGATACACTCCTTTTCAAACCACAAGAGCCGTGACAACCAATTTAGAAGTTGCAAGGTGCCTGACATCCACCCGCAACGGACGCTGGAGTCGGCCCAGGGCATTGGTGCCATGCAGATGTGCGCTGCTGATTTCTTGTGCCTGTACGGCGACGAGGAACACAAAGATACGTACGATGCAGTCGCTGCCTGCTTCTTCTTGGACACGGCGCCAAACCTCATTCGCTACCTGGAAGTGATTAGGAACTGTCTGAAACCCGGCGGCATCCTTATCAACGTCGGACCTCTTCTCTGGCATTGGGAGGGCCAAGTCGCCGGCCATCAGGGCTATGACGGCGACGGCGGAGACGAGGCTAGTGGGAACATGGGCATTGCCGAGCCAGGCAGTTTTGAGCTCACACATGACGAGGTCGTGGCCCTTGTTGAGAAACTGGGATTCACCATAGAGCATCAAGAGACCAATATCACGGCGCCATATATCCAAGACTCAAATAGCATGTTGCAAACGGTCTATAGAGCTGCGCATTGGGTTGCACGGAAATCAGAAACATAGCATCTGGATATTTTGGTCCTCTGGGTAACTCATAGAAGAGAAAGAGAAAAGCAAAAATGCATTGCAGCAGGTTGCAGAATGTACCATTCCGCCTCTTCAAAGCTCTTCGTGTAATGATTGACTTGTCAAGCGTACATGGTCAATAGATCTAAGCGGCAGCGTCATTCGAAAGCATATTCTGGTCCACAAACTCGGGCTTACTTGAATTTGATATATTTGTTGCACCTACGGATACCTGCCCAAGCCTGACAGCAACCAGCGTTCTAATGATGCCCGTACCCAATTAAGACCGAAGCAAGGCCTCGAGTGTCTCGTTTCTCTGATTTCGGTAAAATAGCCATCACTCAAGTGTATTCGTTTCATCCAAACACTATGGATGTCTTATCGGCAGTGCCCTCTTTGCCTTGCAGTAATTCATCTCTCAAGGTCACATGTACCATCACCATGTGCATCCTTCATACGGCAGCTGATTCATTTGCAATAATGTGGTTCTCAGCTTTCCAGCCCAGACTTCCCCTCGTGCTTAGAGCTTGGCCTTTTCCACCGTCTCCTCTTGCGCATCCAACAGCCCGCCACGATTCCACAAGCTGCCGCCATCAATGGCAATCTCGGCACCATTGACGTGCCCGCCGGCCCGCGAGGTCAAGTACACCACCGCGCCGGCGAAATCCTCGGGGCGGCCCAGCCGGCCCATGGGGTTGCTCTTGGCGTGCTTGTCGAGACCGCCCGTGAGATCCAGCAGGCCGGAGCTCATCTTGGTGGGGAACCAGCCGGGGCAGATGGAGTTGACGGTGATGTGGCGGGGGCCCAGCTCGAGCGCCAGGTTGCGGCCCAGGTGCAGCACGGCGGCCTTGCTCGCGCTGTAGCCGAAAGTGGCCTGCTTGCCCAGGGTGCCAACGCCCAGGCCCGCGACCGAGCTGGTGATGACGACGCGGCTGGGGTCCTCGACGCTGGCGCGCTTTTGCAGCAAGGGCGCAAACTCGCGAATCGTGTTGAAGACGGCCTTGACGTTGAGGTCCATGACCTTTGCAAAGGCCGAGTCCGGGTGCGTGTCAAAGGACTCGCCCCACGACGCGCCCGCGTTGGCGAGGAGAATGTCCACGTGGTCAGTGTGTGCCTTGACCTGCGACACCAGCGACTTGATGCCCTCCATGGTGGCCGAGTCGGCGGGCACCGAAATGGCCTTGGCTCCAGGGGCCAGGTTGGGCAGCTTGTTGAGCTGCGCGACGGCGCTCTCGCAGGCCTTGGCCTTACGTGAGGTGATGAAGACAAGAGAAGCGCCCGATTGGAGAATGCTAGATTGTCAATGTCAGTCTTGGGGTTTCATTCTATTCATACAAATATTCGCCACCCGTCTCTTTGGCAAGGTGAGAAGCAAGCAGAATTTTAGGGAATATGCTTACGCTGAAGCAGCGTTCAAACCGAGACCACGAGAGCCTCCCGTGACGACGGCGACCTTGCCCTTGAGGGAGAAGAGCGAAGGGAAGTCATGGAGCGCCGTCTCATCTGCCATTTTGTCTGTGAATTTAGTGTTTTGGCTCGTTCTTTTAGTGATATTGATTTGCGTGAAGAAATGCAAGCAGCCAGCTAATGTACCACTTCAAAATGTATAGATAGAAGAAAAATGCAGCTGCAATATGTCAACGAGGAGAAATAATGAGAAGTTGTTCACTCTGATTCTCCGTCCTAGGGGTAGGAGCGCATATGTACGGACGGGATGCCCACACTAAGAAATGCGGATACCCCGGATTTCGGTTCCATGTTGAGTTTGGTGTGGAGAGATGCCGAGGCACGGTGGGCGTAACCGAGCGAGGGTCCTTCTACCTATCCTATCCCCATTCGTGTCAAGAAACACACACTTATAAGACAGGCCGCAATGGACTTGTCAAAACACCACATTTGCATTTTCAAATTCTCTTGAGGAGGTGCCGTTGAATATGGAGCCCCATACTGTAACGACTTTGGGATAATGTGCACTTCAGTCACCCGTGCCAAGAATTAAAAGAAGAAAAAACAAGCACCCTCAAAAGGCAGAAATGGACATATTACAAAATTGTATTCCTTCAAGTTCTTGTCTCACATTTATGCCGCTGTTGGTCATGGAATACAAGCTTTCGAATATACCGTGCCCCTACAATGGAGGCACGAATGGGGTATTCCAAGTCTCTAGTAGGCAAACCGTCTAATACAGCATCGCTATGAATCAACGCTGTCTATGTTATGTCGTATATGCAATCATCCATCTTTATGTTGGCCCGTCCTGATCTCGAGCGTATTGATGCACCTGAAGGCACTTGTTTCCAGAATACCATCCAGATTTAGTTTGAGAAGTATCTCTTCTGCTTGCCAACCTTGGCGTCTTCCACGGTATCTTGCAGGCGGCTACGAGGACCAGGGCTGCCACGCTTCGGAACTTGCAATGAAATGTTCCTGGATTGAGTCTGGGGCGATGTCGTTGGATCACCTTTGCAGCTCAGTTCCGGCTCTGTTCTCCTGTCCTGAACAGCGGCTTTCTATGCAACGCGACGACTAGGACTTCGGGACATTTTCCGCCTGGATCGATCCTGAATGATCTGTTGACTTGTAGCAGCATCGTACCCAATGATATGCATGAGGTAGAAAAGTCTACTCATAGAGTTAGTCACTACGACTCGGAGTTTATGATGGCTCGTTTACTCACTTGTCTTCGTTCGCCTCCCTCTCCTTTTGGTCTTCAAAGCGCTGCTGGCAATCCGCCCAAGTCATAGCACGTCGCTTGGGGGAAACGGTCTTGACTGTAAACTTGAAACGTCCAGACACCGGTCTATGATCGGAAACTCGGACTTCGTGTCTTCTGTAATCAAGTTGTTGAACTCTGCCAGAGCCTCTGTGAAGGAGGCGATCACACCATGCAGGAGAACGCTTCTTCTCGCTGGTGTCATAATTGTCCGTCCCTACATCATATTTATACGTTGGCGCGAAAGTGATTGGCATTTCCTCAAAAGCCCTCAGTTTGAAAGCCGGATTGCGTCGTCTTGCAACAAGCAGTTGATCTCTGTCGAGGAGCTTTGCGAGATTGTTGGCCTTGACGGCAGCAACCACCGTATCTCGTGACATTGTATCAATTCGGTAGTTTAGATCGCCGTTGAGCAGGCAGATCTCGTGATCCATGATCATGGACCCGTCGCCGCCGCCAACGTAACTGTCAATACGGATGCCCCCATCCCGCTCAACCGGTAGCAGGTTGCCTTCCAAGATGGCGGCGATATCGTTGTGACGACTGTTCGCCTGGGACTGACCAGCTGCTAGATGACAGTTGATGAAACACATTGAAGTATCATCGAGCACGAATCTGACAACAATTGCACCCTTGTTTCCGTGTAAACCCCCCATGCCTCGTTTGACATCTGCACTGCTCAGATTTCGGATGCGATCTCGTACCGTCGACTTGACAAATATGCAGGTGAATAAGCCGACCAAGGTGGACGAATGGAGCAGATGGTATAGACAGTCGGATGGCATGAAATCGTCCAAACTGCGAGCAAGAAAATCGCGCCAGTCGCGATACTGATGGCTCATGCGCTCCTGATCTGTCACAGCATCCTTCTTTTTAGACTTGAATAATCGTTTCGCGGTTGCCGTTTTATCTTCAAGATCAACCAATTCTTGAAATCCGAAAACCAGAATCTCTGGCGCGTCGCTCGATTGGAGGAGGTTTTGAATGAAGACGGAGTCTTGCTCCGAGTATCTGAGACTGCTTGGCGTAGAGGCACCTGCATTCCATGTCATGACCATTGCCCTAATGTCCTCGAATTCGCAGTACTGGGTGTCCAGCCGTTTCATCTCGTCCTCGATATAGTCCTCCTGAAGAAGTCCATCCCAGGCCTTCACGATGTTGTCGGCTCCCAGTGATATGACCTGCAGCCGATCCAACCGATAAAAGCTGGCTAGATCAGTCTGGAGCTTGAGCACGGGGCCATCGTGAGACTGCCAATCCTTCTTTACGACCCATGGCGATTGTTCGATATCGTAGACACAAACCTTGCCCGTGTTGTAGCCGGCCCATAATAAATTACCAGCACCTGCAAGGCAACTGATTTTGAATGGGCTTATATTGATCACACCGAGAGATGTGAAATCTTGCTGAGACCAGATGCTCACTTTTCCATCAGCATGGCCAAAGAACACCTTGTCTTTATGCGACTTGATCAATGCTCCTGACGTAACTTCCCCAGCCCCTTCTGCCACCATGGGGCGCATCAGGACCTGGACTTGCGTTCTGCCGTCGAGTGTCGGGGCAAAGACACGGATTTCTTTGCCCGTTGCGTGCCATATCTCATCGCCCACCAACATGGAGAAAGTGTGGCCTCTCGGGAGGCGGAAAGTTTGGTGAGGAGCATTATTCAAGTTTGGAGAACCTTCGCCGTCTGGGCCCCAAACGTGCAACCCACCAGACTCGTCCAATGTCCACATCTCATTGAAATGTCTGAAGATCTTGATGACCTCGCTTCGGCCGTGGGCAATGGATTTGTTGCCAACAATCGATGCTGTGGCAATATCGGCTTCCAATACCTCACCTAGATTATTTCCAATCCACAGGCGGGTCGCTTCGTCCTCGACACCAAGACCGCATTTGAAGGCTACTGCAGTGGCCTTGACGCCTTCTCCATGAGTGAAACTCATAAGGAGCTCCCCATCCAGTAGACTCCACACACGGGTCAGCGGGCCACTGGTACAAAGATATGGCCCGCAAACATCAATGATCCGGGTATCATATTTCGTATAAATTTCGTGCTGGCCCTTCTTGGCAAAGGGGGGCCGCCTATTGACTTGAGAAGCATCTGGAAACTGTGATATGGCTTGCGTTGGTAGTCTAGGGGTTGGAGTAGATGCCAAAGACTGAGTTGTCCTAGTGCTCCTGTCGACCACGGTACCACCTCTTCTTGGTGGTTCCCGGAATTCAGCGGGTGTACGGTCAGATGTCCTGTCCACGGTCATGGACCTTCCATGAGTACGAGTCGGCGGAGGAGCAAATTGTGGGTTCTGTGCTGAAGTTGGTGTCGAGACTGCTCGCTTAGATTGAGTAGATACTGCACTGTTGTCGGCATTTGCCAAGTTGTTTGAAGTAATTACGCCTGGCCGAGGTGGCCGGGGTGGCGGCCTCATCGCTCCAGATGGTGCTCTTGCCGGCTGTGCATCCATTACAGTATGAGGTCGGGAAGGCAAAGCTGGCGCTAGTGACGGCTCTGGAGCAGCAGAAACTACGCCTCGTCCACCGCCATTGACTTCTCTCCTTGCAGCTGTCGACGGATGCACCGGGGGCGGTTCAAATGGCACGGGCACAGTATTATTCCTGGCCATGGGTGGTATCTTGGCGGCCGGCTTCGTGGCGGGACGACTTGGAAGTCTGGGCGGTGACTGCTCGTGTTCTGGGCTGCTGGGCGGGCTATTGAACGGCGATTGCTCGGGGACCACGGCAGGCGCCTCGAGTCGGTGGGTGTCTAAGCTCAACAAGTGCGACAGTCGATTGCTGGGCTTTTCGGCGCGGTTGATCGGTGGCGGTACGGGCGGTCGACCTCTTGCATCTCCGTCCCGCTTTATTTCTCCGGAGCGTCTCGGCGGAGGAGGTGAAGGCGGCCCTGGAGTAGCGGAGAGCCTGGGCGATCGACGTGGCTCCAGGCCCGGAGTGTGAGGCTTGCTAGGAGGAGCACTCGGGATCTTGAATGTTCGCGGCGAGGACGCGACCGGAGTAGGGGGTGCTCTGGTCGGGTCAACAAGAAGCTGGCCATTTTCTGAGCCCAAAGTGGTGTTGGCTGCTACGCTTTTCGGCGGCGAGTGAGGAGGATCGATCAGGACCGCTGGGGGTGGCGGCGGCTTCATTGGTCTTGGGCTCATAGGAGTACCCGTTGTGTGAGTTATAGAAGCCGCGTCCAAGCCAGGCTTTGGAATCTGGAGTCCCGTAGGTTTCAACGCTTCCCTTGCCGGCTGGTTTCCTTCGCCTTGAGGTGTAGTCGTTCGGACAGGTCTCGTATCGGGCACTGGAGGGGGCTTCGGAGATGGCGATATGTTCCGCGGCGACGGTGTGACTGGTGAAGACGCTGTGCTGGTGGCATCACTCGGCTTGCCCATATTCTCGAAGCGCGCTCTTAGGGAAGAGACGGGCTTTAGCGACGAGCTGTCGGGCCCATCCTCCACTTGGCCGTCCATGTTGGGCAGTGGTTGTTTTACAATGCGTGTGTCGATGGAGGGGTCGTATATCCTATTCCCATTATACCCCGAGCGTAGAGAACGAGTGAGCAGCTCATCGAAGCGAGTTGAGAGGATTCTAAGTTGCCATTCAGATTGAACGAACGAGTAGCTTTTGAGATTGGTTTGTTGTGGTGTTGGGATTTTGGTTTGCGTAGGTTAGGGAGTCGTCAGCGACTGGGAGGCTGAGCAACACGGGTCCCTCAAAAGTATGGCGATCGTGGTCAAGGGAGGCGGGGCAGTCAGGCTTTGTGGGTGAATTGGTGTAGGTACTCGAGGGGGAAAACCCGATGCTGCTGAATGAGAATAATGAGATAGTGTCCAAGTTGAGACGAAAGGATGAATGGTACAAACAAGGTGGTTGATGATGAGGATTATGCCTTCAATTAGCCAACTGTAATATTTTCTTTTTCTTTTTGTTGTATTTTTGGGAGCTACAGTTCACTGGGAGTACAAATTGGTGAAAGTACTCCTGATAATGGTACGGGGTTTCCCAAGGGACGACACTCTGAGACGGAACAAAGGATAAGGTACCTCACCTAGCCTGAACTAGAAAGGCTGGGACACTGGATAATAAGGGGATGCGCCAAGCACCTATCAATGTACTTCTAGCAGCAGGCAGGTAAACACAGTCTTGTTGATCTGCTAATCACGTCTGGATCTGGCACCTAGAGTAGTCTTGTCTAATGTAGATACAGATATGCGAGTCTGTAAAAGTAACCTCGAGGGGGTCCTCAATCCGTCCCCATACCACGTTTAATCGTGCTTTAAATTGCTTGGCATTTTAAAAACTGTTTTAAGGCGCGGAAATCTCGACAGTCAAACGCAGATCGTGGCCAGGGGCTGATAGCGCGCATAGTAGCTGGGGCATAGAATTGCTACGTAAGCTCCTGACTGTTTAATGCCTGACAACAAAGACTTTCATACCTGTCCTGTCCGTCTCGAGGGCTGAGCTTTGGATTATTATTTTTTTCCCACAAGCATTCATCCTGACACGAAGACTTTGTGACAGCCAGCAAGAAGGGGCTTTGCCACATGTGCCATGAATCAAGCTCGTATGTTCAGACAAACACCTCTTTTTTTTTTCCCTTGAAGCGGGTCTCTACTAGTAATATAGATGGTTGGGCAACTTGACATGTTTTCAGCGGCACTTCAGGAACCAGCGTGCCAGGTACCTTGTCAGCGTGACGTAGCTGGTTTTCGTCGCCTTACCGTCCGCTCCCAATCACTGGCCAGGCCTCACTGGGCCTCCAAGTCCAGCTGCTCCCCTTTCCTGTGGGGCCGGCAGGTCATTCATTCGACAGGCGCTTCTAGCGCATAGCGTTCCTGGCAGCAGAGACTGGGAATTATTAGCTGGAGGCTGGAGCCCCGACAGCGAATGGGTTTTTGTGCCCAAGCTTGCCAGGTTGCTTGCCGTCGCGCTAAAGATGCAAAACAGTAGGGACTGCAACTCAGGCAGACAGCTGGAGAGCAGCTGCACACTGGTTAGCGGAAAATATCAGCTTGGTTACCTCAACACACTTGTCGCGATCCATCCAGTAACAAAATCCACCATTTTGTTAACCGGATATGATACCTATATTCTCATGCAGGAACTACCGTGAGCACATGGTCTCATTGCCCATTCGATTAGACGGTAACATCACTCACAACACCAGATCTATTTATATAGTTCTCAGCGATAAGACAGATATCGGTAGCAAGACACGTGAGATTATGAGCAAAGGTTCTCTTGGGTCATTATTTGTACTTTTTCTGATCGCGGCTTTTCGGGGATCAATTCAACCTCAATATTACCATGGAATCTGGGTCAGAAAGTTGAAAAGATAGGGCATGCCGCTTCATTTGTTCTCCAATATAATTGTGACGGGTCAATCTCAAATAGAGCTGGTGGGTTGTCTTCTATAATCATGTAGAAAACTCGAAGGAATACAGTCAGACAGCACTTTCAAACTGCCTGTATCAGAGTAGGAGAACCTGCGAGGCTGGTCTCTCTCTTCTCAAGATCATCATTTCTTACAATACTCAGGCAAAGCGACCGGGTGCCTCATACATGCGTTTGATGCGCTTAAAGCTATCATTGAAGCAAATATTCCGAGGCGGCAGGACTCCTTGTGCGAATAGTTTCACTTTACAAGCAAATTTCACGAGCCTTTCTCTTAGCGGTCTCAATCCGCCTGTTCCAGCTGACTCAACATCACCTTATCATACATAGAGATGATAGGTTTCCTCAACCTTGACAACCACGATGTGTGGTAATGTGAGGGTGTGTAACACAAGCCAGAGCCGCATTAACGACTCACTTGCCAACCAAGTTTCTGTTCATTTCTCGCGATGCGATATTGTCGGCAGATATGCCATCGTCATGTGATCGAAAAACTCATGACCTGGCTATGTAGCAATTTCTAGTCTTACAGAGAGAATCTCCACTATCCGCGTATCGTAGGTGGGTGCATGCACATGATGTACAGCAGAAGTCCATGGATTCATCTCGTGCGCGACGGGACTCAAAGGCTCATAACGTAGGCGAAAAAGTCAGGTCGTTCAACTCGCCTACGACTGGCGGACCAACCACTCAACCTGTGCAATTACTTCAAAAGGTAAGAGAGAGGAAAAAGAAAACAGGTGTAGGATTGCTAGGAATAAATTTGCCAAGTATCGACACCGCGGAGAAGTGTAATAAAAGCCAAGAAGTATATGGTAGGCAAGTAATCAGGCTGCAACAAGCGACTTTAATTCAATTGGTGACATGCTCGAGACAAGGCTGTAATTCCAGGTCATGGTTGCATTATCTCCCTTTTCCTTTTCCTTTCTTTCTTTCCATTGGTTCAGCCGGGGACACGAGGGCAGGATTGAGTCACACGTCCCAACCCAGCCTCACTGCAGATAAGTATGGGGGCATAATTTCTCCAATGCAACCGTCGTCGAATCATATGTGAGGTGGGTACATCGAAGTAAGTACCTACCTAGGTTAGTATATATAAAGGCATTGGAGTTGTCTTATGCATTTCAAAGCCCCACGGGCCATTTACCTCCCGGCGCTTACAACTTCCCCAACCCACCCGACCTCGCAACTTTGTCGTGATGCGGTTACTAGAAACAAGCACTTTAAAAATACACGAGTTTCAGGGCAGCTTCGAAGATGACTACGCGATTTTATCCCATACATGGGGTCTGGAAGAATGCACTTTCCAGCAACTGGAGCAACCCAGTGGCGCCGCTCTCAAAGGCTACGAGAAAATAAGGCTGTGTTGCCAACAGGCACAGCGTGACAATATCAAATGGGCTTGGGTGGATACGTAAGTTGCCCCAAGACAACACATGCTCAGGAACTATAGCTGATTGAACTGGCTGTAGTTGCTGTATCGACAAGACCAGCACTGCCGAGCTTTCGGAGTCAATCAACTCCATGTTCCTGTGGTACCAGAAGGCCAAGATATGCTATGCATATCTTGATGATGTCAACGACGTATCTGAACTCGCACGCAGCAGGTGGTTTTCTAGAGGTTGGACGTTGCAGGAGCTAATTGCCCCCAAATATGTCAACTTCTATTCCACCAACTGGGACTTCCTTGGAAACAAAAATGATCTACGGGACGACCTAGTCACCATCACGAGCATACCGCAAGATGTTTTATCAGGTGCAAGTGAATTTCGGCACGCATGTATTGCCACCAGGATGCGATGGGCCGCCAATCGCCAGACCACGCGCCTCGAGGATTTGGCATACTGCCTCATGGGGATTTTTGACGTCCAAATGCCACTGCTTTATGGGGAAGGCAAGCGGGCCTTTACGCGGCTGCAGCAAGAAATTATGAAAGGCTCGGAAGACCAGTCCCTGTTTGCTTGGGGTCTGTCCGAGTCACCCTACTCAACCGAACAGCTTCAGCATGCCCTCTCTATCGACGAGACATATGGCCTCCTTGCTGATTCACCTCGAGACTTCTTGTTGGCGGCCGAGGTCGAACCCATGCGCAGCAAACAACAGTCCAATTCCACGTCAAAAGCGAGCACAAGTGTACAAATTGACTTGCCCGTTGCTCAGATCGCCGGTAGACAAATCGCAATTCTTGCTTGTACAATATCCAAACGCCATGGAACATATCTTGGCTTTCATCTGAACCATTGGGATAAGTTCTATACGTCACGTGGTGGGGCACTCTTGGCCATTCCAGCCCATGGTTGGGTTACGAGCCGGGTCATGACACTGGAAATGAGAGAGGTCAGCAGTGGCCTGCCCCGAACACGACCGCCTACTATTAGAATTGTACTTAAACCTGAACCCCCGTCAGAAGGCTTCCGCTCTACACACGATGGCTTCCGCTACTATAAGAAACCCGAGATCCATGTTCTACAAGGTGGATCGTATGTTGCGCAGCAAGATGTGATCGTGCCACATTACGACTCTGGTCCTAGTGCTGTGATGATCTTTGAATCCAGTGAATGGATACGTGCTTTTAACGAGGGTCATGGCAACTGGACAGGACCTCCAACAGGATTTGCACTCACTATTGGAGTAGACCCACGGCCTTGGGTTGCATTTGTGCCTATTCTACATCCAGACTATGCGCCAGGCCAGTTCGATCACCTTGCAAATTTGAACCCGGAATTTATCAAGTTCTGCATGACAAAATCCACATTACTCGAGACACTGTCAAGAAAAGAGGGTATCACAGGGTTCTTGGCATCTCGAGCTGAGGAACTTGAGCTGTTGTTGGATAAATGGACGTATGACCGTGCTAATAAAGCAGGTTCGATATACTACAATAAGATCACTCTAAGGGTTTCCTTTAGAGATGTCCCGGACGAAGCCTTCGTCGATTCAGAGGTTCTTATTCGAATACGTGAAGAGTAACACCAACCAAATTTGAGTCGAAATCACAAAGTTTCGGCCCAATAGCTAGTCCAGCAATGCGATGATAGCCATCGAATCCCATAGCCTTAATACTCAAGAGCCTTATGAATTACATGGATATGTGGGTAGCTTGTGGCAGCGCCTCACCAAACATTCAATGCCACAATCGTGAAGATTAAGGCATATGCAGCAAAAGCATCTATCAGAGAGTCGAACAAATAATGTAATTTAGGGAACTCTTCCGTCACTGATTCTGATTTTACGATCTCGGGGTTTCAGCCTTGGAAAGTCACTGGAAATATTTCCCGAGACTCGATGCTTGTATATCAATAATTATCCCAGCTTAAACAATTAATCACTTCCACTATGGAGTACTAGGGAGATTAACAACACCTCACCCTATCTACGGACCAATCGTCGTGGGCTCGAAATCATGGGGCAGAGCAATAGTTAAAACCTTTGCGACTTGCGCAACCTGCGCACACGGCGTAATGCTGCGATAAGGGGGGTTTGGACAATTGTTTTTTTTTTTTTTTTTTTTTTTTGGTAGGAAAACCGACGCGAATGAGGCTCGCTATTGGGAGTTGGTACCACAGCGGCTTAGTTCATATGAGGAACATTGTGTGGGAATTGAACGAAGTAGCACATCGGTATGGATGAAGGGGGGATTATCCCGATAGAAAACCCCCGTCAATCGCGCCTAGGTTGAGCGGCGAGCCAACTGCCCTGGCAATTTGTATCTTGATAAAATCTTCTGCTTCATTCATAAGTACTTCACTGCAACCGATGGGGCTTGTGTCTGGCAACCTCGCGACAGTGGGAGGCCTTGGTAAAGTGCTGTAGCAATCCTTTGGCAAGCCACTGAATCCTTCCGAGGTTGTATCATTCATGGTGGTCACTTGTGCAGGGATTCGACAGATATCACTGCACCGTCTCGGCAGCACTTGAAAGACCTCTGCCGCTCCCATTTCTGCCGGATCTGACCGCCTCTGTGCTTCAGGTCAGCCCTCGCGTGTAGAGCGACAACATGCACTAGAGTCGCCTCTATGAACGTCATTCGATGGTTATTCTATTCATCGTTGATTTGTCTGTTGCTGGCGCTTTGCTTGATTTGATGCCATTGCCCCCCATTAGTCTGTCACATGCTAGCGGCACGCTTCTGCTATAGCCTATAAGCATCATCTCCAATGCGGCTTTTGAACACAAAAACTTTACTATTAGAACAAATTCAATCAATTGGCACGACAAGATATGCTATACTTTCTCACACCTGGGGCGACGATGAAGTGCTTTTCGAAGACATACCAAAGCGCAAAAGTCTGTTTGGCTGCAATTGGAAAAAGAAGGGAGGGGCCTACAAGGTGATCAAGACTGCGGAACGGGCACGACAGGATGGGCTCGACTATGTCTGGATCGACACGTGCTGCATTGACAAGAGGAGCAGCGCCGAGCTCTCCGAGGCTATCAACTCCATGTTCAAGTGGTACGCTCTCGCCACTGTTTGCTATGCATACCTGTCCGATTATGTCGCAGGACGTTCCACGGACGACGTTGACCCCTGGGAGCGTCAGCGTCCTCCGCGAGAGGACAAATTCGCGTCAAGCAGATGGTTTCGGCGAGGGTGGACGTTGCAGGAGCTAATTGCCCCGAAACAGCTCATCTTTTATGATAGGCATTGGGAAACGGTGGGACTGCGTGCCGAAATGGCTACGTATATCTCGGGTCTCACTTCCATCGACTCCAACATTCTCGTTTCCATGCAAAATCGCGGCCCACGGATGTTGCATCTCGTGTTGGAGAGATACAGTATCAGCCAGAAAATGTCATGGGCAGCAAACAGAGAAACGGCAAGGGAGGAAGACATAGCCTACTGTTTATTGGGAATATTCGATGTCAACATGCCTCTTTTGTATGGAGAGGGCCCCAAGGCTTTCAAACGACTTCAGGAGGAGATTTTGAAAAAGTTTAACGACCCGTCAATATTGGTGTTTGATAGAAGCCTCAATTGGGGCTCAAGCACCTTGTTGGCACCGTCACCTCGTCCTTTCAGCACGGAAGCACCATTATACACCAATCCAGAAGAGGTACATGCCGTGCAATTGACGGAAGCTGGCCTGAAAATCGACATGTTCATGTGTCCCTTGACAGATGTCAAGGGAAACGTATCTGAGAATGACCATTTTCTAGGAATTCTGGATTGCTTCTTTGATAAAAAGTGCTTGGCAAGGACAGCCATCGTCTTGGTGGACATAGACGGGGTCTACTACTTGTACCCTGATCTCGGCGCATACATTTTGGCCCCAGGAGATGAATCCCATGCTTTTATTTCCCCGGTTTTGGGTACCCGCACAAGCGGCTGGGCGACTCGTTAAGTGGCCCATATGGCATAATCCCTTTCTCGAACTGCACATTATACTAATTGTATGGTAGTGGATATCGATATAAACAAGGCCCAAAGGCAGACCATAACTATACGCGATACTGCCCGAATGGCACCTATGCGCATACACAAACCCAAGACCTACCCGCTCCGACTACGTCCGATTGTCCAAAATACCCCCAAATATGCTTTCGGTCCATCCAGCCCTGAAACTACAAACCATTCCATACCAGACGAAGGTGTGATTCGAGACGTCCCTTGGGGCCGCATCAGATCCCAGATCTGGATCGTAGACACGACCCAGCCTGACCCAAACCACGCCTTGTTACTCACCACCGGCACTGGCCGGAGCAGAAACCCGCGTTACTTCCACTCATCTATACCGAACATATCTTCCATGATTGATGAAATGTCACCAGAGCTGGACCCGGATGAAGTCACGGAAAAGTTGGCCCATCGGCTTTGTGATGTAGATGGACAGAATGTGTCCCTCATCGGATGCGCGCGGTTTGTGGTGCTCGAGAATGGTGACAGGGTCACCACAAAGCTCGTAGAGTCCTGTTTCTTGGGGACTACGCTGTACGATATCCACGTGAAAGTCGACTTTAATGGAGAATTTTGACCCCGCGACTTGACTTTCAGATCAGGAGCCGGTCCTTTTTATCTTAATCTTTGCTAGTAGCAGACCACCGTTCAGTGTGCTCGGTGTGACGAATGAAGAGCTTAAAGACATGTATAAGTTTAGTTCAATCCGCTTGTTTGTGATAAATACCTAGTCACCAGGGCCACGAAAGAGTTGAGAGCTGGGTCAAACCCAATTGTTTTACAATCTCATAAAGCGCTCAATCTGTCTGGTGACAGACATAACTAGCCAAGTTTTGCTACAATATCAGGAGATCATTCACATACTTACATATTTACTTACTAAAACAGCGAGTTCCTATCTTGGTGCCAAGACATGCCTGTCGAACTGCCCACTGACCATAATCAAGAAGTCATACCTGCCTGCAACATCCTCATCTCAGTGTCGAAGATTCAACAACAGAAGATAACAAATTCCATGTCGATGCAACATTCAACAAAGTTCCACAGCTGGCAAAATCAGGTACTCGCTCAAAAGATGCGACGTATCATTGAAGGAACTTCGCAGTGTCCCTGAGTGACTTTATTGACAAAATCCTCTAGTTGAGAAATTGAAATAACGGCAATGACATGTGGAATCCTTCGAGGGGACGCTTTTCGTCGCTCTGATGAAAGTCATGCCACTCCATGAGGACCTGGTCAACCAGATCGAGCTCTTCTTACCATTGAAGGATTCGCCGCTTAACCACTTTCTCTACTTGCCATGTCTTGTTCTCGGTGCATATCCTGAAAAAAGAAATGCAATGGTAAGGAGCCCCGTATAGAGTATATATATTTAGAGGTTGTAGCGTTAATCAGTTGGTTTATAGCCTCGGCGTATAGAGATCCCATTACTAATCCCATTACTAACCATCTACGTAGTATGATAAAAAAAAAACAGGTTGCAATTGTAACCGCCTTGCGAGGCTCGCCCCGCTACTACACCCGCCGCTAATGCAGTGTTTTCTTAGGGTACCTTGATGGATTTACCTCCCTCCACATTGAGCCCGGCAGTGGACTGCCAGCTTGCATTCACTGGGAATTGGTTATCTGACCCCCGTGTAACGTTTGGTGGCCTTTGGTTGGACCAGCTCCGATCCTCCCAATTTTGCACGCCTGCATGGAATCTAGTCGCGAAGGATTCGATACCTAGATCTCTTGGAATTGATATCGTGCTGCGCCTCCCCCTCACGAGAGGTTGGGCTTGCCCTCCCCTTCCCCCAATAGCTTTCAAATGCTAGTGTAATCGAGGTCATCACTGTCCATTTTGGTGGAGATATGACATTGCAATGCGCCCATCATATCCCTAGCATCATCCGCACCCGCACTGATTACATACTGATTGCAAAGCGCAATGCCACTTTGCGGCCGATGCTGGCAAGTTCCTCACAGGCAGTGTCGTCAATGTGTGACTGGGATCATTCAATAGATCTATGTATCAAAACGGCACACGCAGGTAATTTTACTATGTACTTGTATTGGTGGAGGCTCAGTAGATGGGGTCTCCAAGGGTCTGGTGTTAGTCAGTACACAGTAGAAGGATGGAGCCGATAAGCAGCACTGCTTGGTACTACACTGTTTTTGCACGAGCCCCAATCTTATTGTACGTACGATACACAGTAGATATTCTCGAGTGCACTCCATATCCAGGCATGGAGCATTGATGGTGACGTCTGGCCCTGGTCTCTGTTTATTTTTATTCCTCTTTTCCCCAGCGCGCTTTGCCATCTTAGGGCCTTTGCAGCCCTATCGCGGGCCGAACCTCCTGGCAAATCAAAGCCTTGGAGTATACTGCCTACCCACCGGATCGTCCCCATCACAGCATCGCACCCATGTCGTTGGCATCACATGAAATCATTGTTTTTGCCTCATCGTCGGCAATGCCAAGTAGATTCGAGTTATTCTACCGATCCATTCCCAGAGCACGAAAGCCAACAGGTCGTGTTGCTACAGACTACACCAGCTCCGCCTCAATCAGACTCTCCGAACCCATCTCAAACGTATACACCTGCTTTATCTTATACCCAGCCCGATCAAGGATCTTTTCCCAGTCATTGTGCGTACGCTCTCTCATTGCACCGAGCACCATCATCAAATGGTCCATCGACGTGATTGGCCAGGACGCATTGTGTTCCGGCACCACGAGCTCATTGATCAATACAGTCGAGTACCCGGACTTGAGTGCAGGCTTTAGCTGTTCCAGAATCTTAACACAATCCTCATCGTCCCAGTCGTGAAGCACCGAGTGCAGATAGTAGGCCCGGGCGTGCTTCACAGGTTGAGGCGTGAAGAAGTCGTGACCCATGGGCTCGAATGCATCCGCGGAATCGGTGACCGTAGATATCACCTGAGGTTGATCTTGTAGAACGAGCTTGCCTGGTAGATTGGGGTGTTTCGCTTTGAGTTCTTGTAAATCGTGGCCGATGCCGCCACCGACATCTACGAGCAGTACATCGCTAATGTCGGAATTGAAATTGGCGAGGCGCTCCGAGATGGGGAAGAAGCCCGGGTCAACCCATGACGGCTTCCCAGCGCGGTATGCTGACATGTAATTGCTGAAGATTTGGAGGTAGGGTGGGTTTTGATCTAGCCAAGCAAAAAAGGGCAGCTGGGTTTTGTGGGCACTTTGGAACGGTCCATTGGCTAACTCGGTAGGGAGTTTATAGTCGGTGTTCTTGAGATACTCGGGCAAGTGGCGGAAGGATGGACCGGCCACGTCGTAGGTGTAGATGATACCGTCCCGGTATTTCGACTCTGTCAGGGCGGTGCTCAGTGGTGTAGCAATATACCCATTCTCGTTTTCCCCAATCACGTTCATGGCGGCAAGATGCTTTAGGATTCGGGAGATCAAAACCGGATGAGCACCTGATTCCTTGGCGACTTGCTCCGCGCTCAGGCCCTGAGAGCCGCCGTCCTTTAGGAGCTCAAAGACCTTAAGCTCAACAGCCGTGCGACAATGAGCAGCCCTCGCTGGTTCAGCCCAGCCCATTCGCTGGATAGCCTCGCTCGGGAGTTCCAAGCTTGCAATCAAGGCATGGCTTAGATTTAGAAGCTGCTCTCGAGCTCCAGGCTTTTTCTCGGCGTAGGCAGAGCCTACGGCCTGCAGCTGTGCGAGGATTTGGTCGGGTTGTAAAGAAGCCATGCTGAAGATTGCTGATGTTGGAAGATTGGGACTATGCTGTAGTCGGACTATGTTGTGTTGGCAAGGGAGGGATCCTGGAGGTAAATATCATCAGGTCATGAGCAATCCAAGGCTGATGCTGACTGGGGAGTAGCGAATGATGACGTACCAGATTACCAAGTGTTTGCAAACAATGAATCGAATAATCAAAACGCTGGAGTGTGCGGAAGTGCGAGTTATGCCTGTTCCACTGCCTGCCCGAGTGAGACGAAACATGAAAGTGTTAAACACACAGCCTGCACACAGCCTGCCAGCTTAGGTATTACAGGTACATAGGTAGGGTCTGCAAAGTCCCCTGCAGCCGAGACTTCCATCTGCAAACCAGTGCCGGAAAGTGCTCTGCCGGAGGTAAGGTGAGGTTACCAACCAAGCACCTGGCAGGCTGATCGCTACTGCTGTACCCTACGCATCAAAGTGGTGTATGTATGCACGTAGGTGGTCGGTTGGTAATCTACTCCATAAATTTATTCTTGTTGGTGGTGCCACCTGCTGTGATGAGGGGTCTCAAGCTGCATGCTAGGTCCTACCTTGATGCACAAAGTACCTATAGCATTTGCAGTGAAGGCAGGGCGGGGTTGAGGGAGCTGCCGAGTGGGTGCCCCCCGCCGTGGGACTTTTGGGGGCCCTTGTACTTCTATGGTGGGCTGCTGTGGGTTGCGTTTTTTAACGGGAATACGACATGCAAAACTAGGGGAATAGAGCAAGGCAATAGAGAGATAGAGAGAGAGATGAATAGAGACACCCGACGAGAAGGGTAAACAAAATTTGTGCCTCTCTATCTGTACGTGTATGTTTGCATTATTCGTTGCGTCTGTTGGTGAAACTTTATCTACGAGAATTATAGCTTGTGATCTGTAACATGCCACTACCAATGTTCACACATATATCTAGTAGTCTAGTGTAATATGAATATGATATTATTTGATACTGTAGTAAACAGCAGAGTATTTATAAAGTGTCCTTTTTTTTTTTTTTACGGCGAATGATATTTGCCTACATGGACAACCACGGCTTCTAACTTCAGTGGGCAGGGTAGAGAGAGAGAGAAAGAGAAGATCCACCATTGCAAGATGTAATCATGTCTTCCAAATTCGGGACGCCTAACGGAGAACGACATATCGCTCTCTTTCCACCTCCATCCCTTCCTCTCTCACTCTATTTTCCCCCTCTGCGTGTCTTGTGGCACCTATACCATCGTGGATGTGGTTCCTTTTCGGGGCCCATCATCGATATGGGTCACGGAATGTGTAATGTCTGTGGTGCGCCAAATGGCAGTCTCCGAATCGTTTGACCTGCGAGGCGCCGCGTCACTGTTCTTGGTGACATGGATTGAATTTTGGTTTCCCGACATCTCGTGTTGCCCATAGTAAGAGTTCTGGTCATTATTGCTGCTTCGGATCAGCGATTTCTTGGAGCTGAGCCTGCCGCTGAAGAGAGAGCGGAAGAGCCCACGTCCCTCTGAAGCTGGCTCCCTCTTGAATGCGTGGTGGAAGAATGGTCGCAGCGTCGGCATGCATGCAGCAATGATGATGACATTTGCTTCGACACTAGAATCATAAATTAATACTCAATAGATAAGGACAACAGGTTTGGACATAATGCTTACATGGCCCAGATGATCAAATCGACCGACCCATAGGTAAAGTCAGTGAGGTCGTCCAGCTCATTGAGCTTTGTCGTCTTCACAATCGCGCAGATGGCGGCAAACAGCGTGCACAGCATCAGGAAGCAAAGTCCGACCTTGGTCTTGGTTGGGAGTTTCAAGCCCCAGAAAGCTAGAGAAGGTACAACACCGAGGATTATGTCGGTGAGTGCCGTGTATGCTGTTGTGGTCATTAGCAATCATACCTTCTCTGCGCGCATGCGCCCGTGTGAGTGAGTGAGGGTGGTGGGTGGAGGCGAAACTTACCGCCAACGAAATACGAGTAGCGCGACACAGTTCCTGCGGCAAGACAAGTGTGCGGGACTGTTGGGTTCCAGAGGGATTCCGTGGGAGTGCATTGCGTGAAGAGAAGCACACATGATATTCCAGCAATGACGCACTGGGATATCGCGAGCAGGTACAGTGCACCGGCACGCAGCCTGTTGGGCGGGAGCACATGGTTCACCAGTATAGCCACTGAAATGTTTGGAAAGCTATATGCCATGATGCCGAAAGGGTTTCCTATAAAGTTGACCTTCATGACGAGGCTTAGTCGCTCCGTAGGAATATCGATGGCATGTTTCCCCATGCCAATAGCGACATCATAAGTGAAGATCGAGGTGCAAATAACAATAAGAACCTAATCGTTCATTAGCGATCAACGTGATGTCGACACAAACCAGGCTGCATACAAGTGATATCAGAATGAAGAAGTCATCCCAAGTCAGGCCGCGCAGGATGTGCGCACGTGTAATGACCTTCAAGGTGACGGTGATGATAGCAAGAGCTGTGAAAACCCAGATGATAGCCAATAGTTCTGGCCCCCGATCCTCTGTAGCCATCTTTGCTTATAGTGAGGATAAGCCTGCAAGTCTTGATGTTGTGGCGTGAGGTCGAGATGGTTGAATCTCAGCTGTATTCACCTTGATTCGGTTGATTGGGGGTTATTATTTCTCATGTAGTGCAAAGACAGAGGAAGGGGCGGTAGAAGTCAAGTTGATGATGATGATCAAACTAAGGTTTTTTCTTCTTCTTCTTCTCTTCAAGGACGGATCAGCAAATTAGCAGCCATAACAGGATTCCATCAAAGGGCCCGCAGGAGTGGGCGTCGAATCCTCCTGTCTGGGTATTGTCTGGCCTGCATGTTGAAGAAATGCAAGTTCGCTTATCAGAGCTGAAGGATGCAAAGACGTAAATGCCGCGGTCGCCCGTCATACCACATCGGAAAAGGTGTGTGTCAGCATTGGTGCATTGCTGACTTGTATCACTGGAGAATTATTACCTATAGCAGCTTGTTAATCCAGCAAATAGGACAAGAAAGCAGACGAACAGCACATTTGCCAGCCCAGGGACTCCACTCTTACACTCCATAAACCCCAGTCACTTTGAGTGCTCCAGGATTGGTTGCAACGCTATACCCACGATTGTGCATATGCGGCGCTGCTGCACAGTAATCCTCCAGACTCAGGATGATGCGATGTGCAGCACCCTAAACCGGATGTACCGGGTCTAGTCTAGTCATCATTATCTGATGATGTGATAATTCCCCAAAAAAGAAATACCCAACCAAAGTGGGAAATGGATCCGAGGGTCCTAATCGTAATCTATAACGACAACAGCAACCAGCTCTACCACTAGTAACCAACTGGAATGGACATGTTCAACTAATTTATTCCGTCTTCAGCATAATGGCATGTCGTCGTGCCACGGAGGATGTCCCAATTCGTCTTTGAGGCCGCTTTTGAAAAAAGCTAAGGATGACTGCAGAGGATGGCGCCAGTGAAATTGCAATTGTGCACCCGCGCCACTTCTTGACCAACATTCGAGATAACATGCACATGACTGCAAACTTCCTTTATCAATATACGAGGAGGAGAACAGGGGCCCATGGGCTGTTTTTACAGGCAATTATGCATTTGGAATTTGATGCTTACTATGGTAGCAGACGTACATAGCAGAATCCTGATTGGGGTATTCTGAAGTCTTGGCCCATCCAGGTGCAAGTTGTGCTTTCAAGCTTTTCAAGTTGTATGATCGCGCTATTGGGAGGCCCCCCC